GAAGCTATGACCATGTGTATATTGTCCTGTCCATGTACTTTTCCTATGGAAATTTCTCTTTTTCCTACCATCTGGATTTCTTGTCGGTAAGACATCTATGAAGGCGATTCTATTTCGGGATTCGTCTTCCCACGTGAATTCCATAGCAGAATGTACTGGACTGAACTGAGTTATTATTGTGTTCCTATCCGAATGATGATCACAAAGAATAATGGTGTCATCCATAAACCGACAGTAAAATTAGAATTTCCTAATAAGGTTTTTCAAAGGTCAATTTCCTAGTTTACTTAGAAAGGAATCTGACAAAATGCGACCCAATGAGGATCCCATCGCCACCCCGTCCATTTGTTTGTAAAGTGTGCCATCAAATTTTTAATTTACATTCATGGAATATCCTAATATCAATTCTTTTAGCATTTCCGCTGTGATACCGATATTTGTCGACTGGTTATACACTTGTTCACTTATGTAGTTAGCTGTTTCTCCTAGAGGTACATTTGTGGATAAAGATGTTATGTCCAAAGATACCATGGTTTTGTCCTTGATGTTCATTTCTGTCATTTTGTCTATAAATTCAAATACATCTTCGACGCTATATTTCCCAAGCTTCTCATACAAATCTTTGAGCATGGTAGGGCGGATTTCAAACATCAAGTATTGGTCAATAAAATATTTAAGTGATATTCCTTGTTGAGATGCGTCCCTGTAAAGTTCCTCGCTTTTTTGATGAAAAAGTAACCTTATGTTATTATTGATAGGAGGCAGTTGAAACAAGCTAAAATAGTCTTGGATCAAGACAGGTACTTTGTACATTTCTGTTGTACAACCTAGAACCTTTCATGCAACAAATAAAAAAGGTTATTTATTGGCTTAACTTCCTGAGGTTCATTATATTCGCATATAATGTATTTATGGATAATACAGTTTGTTAGTTTTCACAAATTCGGAGCAGTCTGTCTTCTATCTTTATTTTTGTAGGCTCTGCGGTTCAGATATAATCAGGGTCATTACTATAATTGAATCCATAAATCAAGAGTGTTATTGTGTTATCACCGACAAAACAGTTCTACACAAACTAGTCTCCGCAGTTTACGTATGATATTTCTAGGGACTGCAGTATACTTATGTTCAGGTATTATGCGAATGAAATAAACCGACAAAACCACTGCTGGACGTTTTCTTTTGCACAATTGATGGCATTCATGTGGAAGATATACCTAGTACCTATCAAGATTCATTTCCATAGTTATCAAACTAGGACGAAACAGCTGTCCAGTATCAACAGGTCTTCCAATGATCTTCTAACCGATTTCAGTTCATGATGAAATCCTGAAATCAATCATATCCCTGTGAACCAACACTTGAATATCAAGTTTATCACTGGATTAAGTTTCGGAGTTTCCCCCGTGTTGTTTAGTACAGTGAAATTCTGACTACTCTGGGCCTAATCAATGAACAAATCACGTAGTAATTTAGGTCCAAGAAAGCAATTAATATTAACCTTAGAAAGTTAACAGCGGAAATTAACAAGAAAAATTGACCTGAAAAGTCAAAGAAAAAACCATGACTGCCAATTTCAACGTACGAATAAGCGAAGTTTTACTTTACTTATAAACAATGGAGGAAAAGTAGCCAACTTAAAACTAACATTCACAATAAAAACCTTCTAATAAAACTCGCTCACATTAAACACCAATACACTGCCTAAATCCAAAAGAAATTACTTGTACATAATCACAAAGAGATATACGAAATTCAGCCTTTTATGACACTTGGAGGAAAATAAACTTAAGACATATATTTTGAGCTGTGTAGGGAAGACTTAAAGTTCAGACAGTGATAGGATTACTGGAAATGACTGAATGAGTTTTCAAAGTGGAAATTGGAGCAGTTTGTGTCAGTTCAACTTGTCACACTCCTTGTGGTGTACAATAAGGATGAAATGGATGCGGGAGATTACAAAAAAGCGGATATCTACTCCTCGGAAATGGATTTCGAGCCATATCTCGATGACGACAACAAGATAGTTTACAAGATAGTCCTCACGTGGCTCAGACCAGCTGTCAAATACTTCAAGGATTGATGCCACTTTTTGATTTTACCATCCCTCCAAATCCGTTCCAATGAAACCCTGTGTCAGCTAAAATCGGTCGACCAGGAAGGCAGTGGCTTTGCATGCGTGACACGTGTCGTAGCCATTTCAACCGATACAGCTCCACAACCTTATCTATTGGCTTCTCTCTCTCCTAACACTCTGTACCTAGCCTCAACACTACTCTCTGTATTATGCCACTTAACACGAGAAATAGAAGCCAAATACCTATCTATCCCAGTTGAGATTTTTTAAGAATTTCTGCTTGTACCACTAAATGTGAGAATGCAAACATAACATATTTAGCACGGGTGTTATCTGACCAGATAGACGCCAAAAGAGAGCTTATAAACTTACTTTCAAATCCGTAAATAAACAGCAACCTATGAGCAGCATTATTATATGTACTATTCTTCTATTAACTCCTGTTTTTAAAGTTCTAATAATAATTTTATTATTTTAATATATTGACTTGTAAAAGGAGGCAAATAGTTGCAGTATGTACACCCCTGACGATTCCATTCTGTATAATTATTATAGTTTGGAGTGATTAAGTGATTACTGTTATTATTATGATCTCTTGTGGCTAGATGACTGGATTGAAGATCTTCAAAGGCTGGTGATTCGAGTCCCACACTTGATCAGCTCAATTGTATTCATCATCCTAATATATGAAGTTTCAATGCCTACATATTTATCACTAAATGTATCCTTACTATTCTTGTCAATGTTTTGCATAGTGGATGGAAGCGTAGAAAGGAGCTTCGACAGGATTGGATTTTAAACATATGATTGAATAAAAATGGAAAAGTTGATCTCATACAAGACAAAACTACTGATACACTGTAACAATGAAGGCCAATTCCTGTCAGTGATGATGTTCCTAAACTTAAGCGCTCCAATCTCTTCATTCATAGTTCCGTTATCCTTTTTCATGGCTTCCGCGCTTTTCTGCCGTTTGACTCTTCATTGCTGCATTGTTTTCCTACAACCGAAGAAGTCTTTGGAGTAATGATTATATCTCAAAATTGCATGGAAATCATCAATTTCAACTCATGTTTTATAGAAGTTATTCACTGAATGATTGAAAGCTACTTGAAGGATACAATTCACGAAATTAAACCCATCCTTTAATGCAGTCAGTCAGCGTTGTAATTGAGTTACCACTGACTACTAGACTGATTGGCGGAATGGTTAAGCGAGAGATTCTGAAATACAATACAACATAATGTTTATGAATATGATGGACACTTACGATATTATCTATTTGTTCTAATGTGGTGCTGCATCTGTCTTTCATTAGTATAATGCTCACCGATCAATTGGAAAGTCTAGATTCAATTTATTGTCGATGGATCCCAAAACCTCGCCTAGTTTACAAGATGGTTGTAGGCTTGAAGAAACGGGCAGGTCGGATGTGAGACTAGCAATTACTTGCTGTAGAAACAACATCACCGCTACTAAAACTGCAAATCTTGAGGCCTTATGACTCACTCAGAATGCGAAAGAATGAAAATAACTAACGTGATATTGAGTACGCGTAACTAATTTATATTCTTGATGCCAAGTACCAAGTACTGTCGTCAGCCATTAGACCGCTGATGTATTCAGTAGTTCAGTGTATAAATAAGCTTGTCGCCAAAGTTAAAATTTCAGAACCACTAACAAACAATCAGCAAACAACCTTGAATCGGACAATCACATGAAAGAGGCATTTATGATAAAGGGAAACGTATATTTATGGATAAAATGCATAAAAGAAAGCATAAAACTGTTACAGGAGGTATCTTTCTCCCACATGTGGAAGAAACATCTCCCAGTTAAGCATAGGACTGTCAATAGAAACGTTACATCACATTCTGTACATATCATTCATCCAAATGACTATAAACGAGATCCTTTTGAGATCCATTTATAGCTGTAATCCTATTTTTCAACCTCCCCAAAATCCTTCAACAGAATTTGTATATGTCCTCGTAATAGGACCGACAAAATCACTTGAATGGTTCACTCTGTGATGAATATATTCCAGAGATGACAGAGAATCGTAACCTTGCCATTCGTCCGTGCGTATTATTGGTCCGTGTTTTACAAGTCTGGTAATAATTGGCATTAAAGTGGTTGCGTTTCTGTCTGCTATCCTTTCGACGAATCCCTTTCGGAGAGAGGTGTCATACAAACCTATTACCCAAATATTGTTCGCTCACTGGCGACCACGGTTGTATTTCTTTTTCACCAACACAGTTTCATCCACGTGCATAACAACGTCTTCTCCATCCAACAAAGAATGGATTTTTTCTCCATTTCCCAAGAAGCAATATCTCTGAAATGCTGATACCACTGGACTGTTCAGACGAGGCTATTCTCCGTCTCAGCAGCTGTGGCTCTCACTGGCTGCTTCAAGACTCAGTAGTTGCAGATATACAAAATTTGCGTCAAGGAGAGGTGTGACCTTGCATAAAAAGTTCCTACAAAATATTCAAATTATCAACTTACCCTCTCTAATGCTAATTCGCTTCAAGCGTATTGCACGACGATGTTGTTCACCTGCTATTAAAGTCATGAAACCACCACACGAACAAGTTCGCTCCTTCCAGAGCAACCTTAAATCCAGGGAATACTGGAAAACACTGTCCCCCTCGAATTGCAAACTTAACTTTGTTAGGCCACGCATTTGAAATGAATCAAGCGCTATACAACATTGAAATAACGTTCATGACACTCATTGGATAATTTGACGTCGTTCGCTGATTGGTAGTTAGTGGTGCTTGAAGTTTAATTTGGCCCGAAATTGAACTAACTTTCGTGAAACTCATTGGATAATTCGACGTAGTTCGCTGATTGGTATTTAGTGGTGATTAACATATTTCCGGCCGGAATTTTAACAAGTCTAGTAACTTTACCTCCTAAATTTTAAAATTCAATTTACTTACACAATGCTTTGTTTTCTGGATCACTAAAAGACGTTAAGCAAACACGGTCTTATGTAAAACATAAAGTAAGCTTAATATCTGAATGTGAAGAAGTTCAGAATTGTTGTAAGCCTGGGTAGGTATATCTACCCACTATGTTCTGAAATAACGCCAGTCGTGCTAATAAAGAGAGCTGACTGGTGAATTAAGTCATTTCGTCTCGAAGTAACGCTAGTCAGTGCTTAGCATGTCCCGTGACGGCTGGAACAACGCTGATAATCAAACCTAGCAGGTTCTAATCTACTCCTGAAAATGTCTCGAAAAAGAACAGGGTGCTGAATTAGTGCCAGTCATGCTGAAAACCTGCACTGAGTTCTAGTCTGTGCCATTGAAGAATCCATTTCACAAGAGATTCAGAATTTACTCACTATAGAATGTTAGAATTATTTCAGAATTAGTGATATTTAATCCAGCATTATAGCAAGCTTGGGACGGAAATGATTGTAATAACCATAGCATGTATTTATGTATAGATCTTTTTTGCTTGTTTACTAAGGAAGTATATTTACTCCGAGTGTACACCAGTAAATATTTGTGGAGACAGCAGACTTTCAAATGAAGGGCTATGGATTCCAACTAAAATTTGGCTGATGGAATATCGTCTGTCAAGTAATACAAGTGAGATTCTCGTATTCAGCGTTTTATCGAGTGTATAAACATGCGCGTGGTTGCTTTGTCGTATTACTGCTGTAGAATACGTTCCAGAAGTGTTTCCTTTTGGTATTCTGACTTCATCTTGACACCATTTATTTCTTTACGATGACCAGTGTGTTAAGCAATGTAAATAAGTGCACTCTTTCTGATTCACGGATAAATAAAGTAGACCGCGTATTGCTATTTTGTCTTTAAACATAATGAGTAAAGGTAGTTTATTTAGTAATCATTTTATATGTGTGTGTGTGTGTTAACTTCATTACTGTTATCACTATTTTGAAGTTTAGATTATGCCGGACGAAAACTCGACAAGAATTAAACTTATTCTCTTAGGCAATTCAGGAGTGGGAAAGTCGAGGTTTGTTCAGTGTATAATACCGAAATCTTACTTTTTTTATTTTCTTCAACGAAGTCTAATCCGCCAATTTGTTGATGACCAGTTTCTTGTGAATGAGGTGGCGACAATTGGTTTCGACTTTAGACCATATCAAATGGTTGTGGATGGTGAGACTGTACAGTTTAATATATGGGTAGGCTTCATGTACTAAATACATAAACCGTTTCTGTCTAGGATACAGCTGGTGCAGAACGCTACAGTGGTTATCTAACTCCTTCGTTTTATCGTCACGCCAATGGTGCCCTTTACGGTACGTTTGGTATCAAATGACTTTCTACCATCGTTTCCCCTCTTAGTATATGACGTTACTTCTATGCAAAGTCTATCTGGAGTAAAGTATTGGGCAGAACAAACAGAACAGTTCTGTGGTGGTCGGCTTTTAAAAATGCTTGTTGGGAATAAAATTGATTTGGTTAGTTTCTCTGGTTATATGTTCTCTATGTTGTACATATAGGATGGCCGAGTAGTTTCTAAAAAGGAAGGTTCAGATTTCGCCCGACAATTGGGATCACTTTTTGTGGAGACTAGCGCGAAAACAAGTGAGAACGTTCGTGATGCATTCGTAGAGCTTGTTCGAAAAGTGAGTTTTGCAACTATTACAGAGTATTCAAGACTGATTAGGTTTACCAGCCAACTTATTATTTGGTTAATGAGCAAGGTTTTTCACTCGGTTTCACTGTAATCGCAACTTACTATGTATTCAGGTTGGCTCAAAACGCTCCTATTATGTTGAGGTATATTATGGTTAAGTGTACGACTTCTACTGAAGAAGTTAGACATATTCAGATCAAGTTTGAACAGAAAAACGCAAAATTAGGTCACAAGACACAGTTTTGTTCCCTGAGGTGCTTTGAAAATTCAACTGGATGCAAGGTAAGTGCTGTGAAAAGATATCCATGACATTAAGAACTAAAATATCTCACATATTCCAAATACATTTAAATTGTTCGGAAATGTTTCCATATATGTACAACTGTTCTGTGTATAATAGGACATGTGATTGTGCACACCGATGACCAGTACTATCTGAGTTGGGTTCAAGTTGAACAAATTCAGGTGTATTAGAATTGACACACGGAACGAAATCTGTGAATTCATTCACTTTCAGTCTTGGTTGTGCAACGTGCAAGTTACCTGGTTACGGTCCTCGGGGTGCTGAGAATCAGTCGTGGGAAATGTTTTCTGTGAAAACGCTTAAAATCGCTCACAATTTTCAAACGCCTTCACCCTTTGTCAATTTCGGTATTCCAAATAACTCTACTAGTCTTCATTTAGTTATTCTCTGCTTCATACGTCTTTCCGCTGTAGTGTTATTAAGTTTCTCTTATGTGTGGCTGTTTAGATGTGGTAGCTTGAACTGATACACTTCTTCCTGGAAGTATACGCTAACTCAGTTACCCGGATAATAGTTTGGATTCCAGATATTTCTCATCAGACATCAGCATACACTGAAAAAACATGCAGATGTGGATAGTTATGTCGATAATGTGTGAGCCTCCACAGCAGTATGTATCCATGAAACTAAGTTCTTATTGGGATAAAGTGAACACCTGATGGATAATCAATATAGATTTATTTGACAAATTGCACAGTTCTCGGTGCCTACCTGTCTTTTACTCTAGTATGCTATTTTAGCGTGAGTAGGGTGGTTAGGTTGAAAAGTCAAAAGTAGTGGTTGAAGTAAAATGTGGTGCTACTCCATGAAGTCAGTGACTGTGGATCTGATATCTGTGAGGGAATGTGGGCTACCTATTTCGAATTCATAGTTTGAAGTTGTTGGAAGTCTTGTAAATGCATTGTTTCTTTGTATTCACCGTAATAATAGGATAACTCTTTTTTGTACCAATTTTCGGTTCAATATCATTCATTGACCGGTAACTTTGACAAAGTGTGGCGATTTTGATTGCTTAATCATTCGGTAGTGTTTTTCATTGAGAATATGTAGTCAACATATCTCGTAAGTAACTGTTATAAGCGACTTCTCTTAAACTATATAACAAGTGGGTGGCTGATTCACTTTATTATTTGCATTGACTTCTGGCAGTGTATGTATGATTTATCAGATAGTTGGAGACACTACTCACACTCTTCAACAAGGCGTATCTGTGGTAACATCTCAGATCAAGGCGCCGGCTAAAACGGGTTTGAACTTGGAAAGACTTAAATTCCTTCAAGATTGCGAATACGTCTTGTTGAAAAGTGCTAGGGCTTCCTGTCAATTGTATCCAGCTACCTGACATCAGTTCAAAATGCACCACAATAGCAAGTCACCGAGCTTGATGACCACATCTGAAAATTGACTGATAAAATTCAGTTTCCAACAATGCCAAAGAGTAACAGCAGAACTGTGGTTACATCGTGCAGGCTTATCGGTGTATGTGCAGTTTTGATGGTTGTTAAGTATTTCATTCATTTTCTATTTTCTCCTCGGATTTCCTTCAACTATGTTTCCTTGTCAATTTTGATGATGTAAAGTGTTGTTCGTTGATAGCAATAAAAGCTTATCCATATAACTAATTTTATCCATTCTTACCTACTTACTTTAAAATAGAAATCCAGTATTTTTAAAGACATATATGAAAGGCTTCAGCTTTGTAGAAAGGGTTAGTGTTCAATACTGTTTCCATGGTACTTATACATGTAAATGCAAGTCTAGATTAAAGATCGATTCACCAGAAAGCATACTTTGTAACAGTAACTTCATAAATAGAATATGATATGGCCAAAGTTGTATGACATAATTTAACTAACGTTTAGTAATCTCATACAAACCATCCGATTAGCCTCGGGTACACATTACGGATATTCCCTCTATTTACTTCCGCCACATATGGTACTCAATTGCTTTCTGTCCGTAGAATATTGTTAAACATAAACGTCACTGTAAGATTCGTAGTGCATGTAGTTGTGTGACTGATTTCATTTAGGCAGATTTCTGCAAGAGTTCATTCAGATGATTCAGAACAGACTCTTATCTATCCATTGCATTTTTTCTTATGATGCTGTAATTGTTTGCTAAAGAAGGAAATATATTTTATGCTTTATTTTAACAAATTAAAATCATATATAGATACTTCAAGATCCTGAATTCAGAGCATCATCTTCATCATCAAGACCACCTCAGGGTATACCATTACAATCTAAACAACCAGATCCACCACCTTCAACGTGTTCGTGTTAACATCTGAAATTATATCTGTGGTCCAGCGGTATATGTGTGTTTATCTTATCCAGATCCAATTCACGTAACAATCGAAATCAGCCTGTTTTCTTGAATGGAACCAAATACAAATCGTCAGCACGTTCAATGCCTGTGATTCACACATCACCTTATCCATTCTCCCCGCCCCATTTGTCTCTCCTGTATACATCCTTCCACCGGTCATTACTTCATATACTGCATAAATTTTAATTCGTATAATTTACAACTGTATTGTAAGATTATTTCCGAAGTATTCATGTTTAATTTCACCATTTGTTAATGATATACATATATATATATATATTGTTTTTATCATTATCATTATTATCATACAGTAAAAATGTATAACACTTTTGATATTTGGATACTCTGGTCATGGGAAATAAAAATTTCCAGTATTTCAACACTGGCTTATGAACCAGTTGAAGTTAGTTAACACTGAATGTATTCAATTTTATGGCTTGTCGCGATGCTTTTCATCCCTTTTATCTTTTCAAACATTTTAAACACCATTGAAGAAGATATTTCCTTGGATTTAATCTGTATGGAGTCAAAATTGGGTAGTTTTGTGACCTTAAACTTCATTTAGGTCATAATATGTGACTTTCGTCACGTGTTTATGCATGCTTTCTTGATTGTCATTTGTGGTATAAAGCGGATCATATAAGCCGTACTGGTTGACGTGAGTGGTATCCAGCTACTCATCTCAGTCATTCAGTAGTACAGTATGCGGTTCCGTTAGAAAGGGGTTCGATCCCATGCCAACTCACATTTGATATCAATTAGTCGGCCTGCAAAATTTGGGCTACCGATATCACATGCTAATATTTCCATACTTGTACAAATACTACGGTGTGAAATCAAGCTATATTTAAAATAATGGTAGACTATTTTATTATGAACTTGATTTCTAAGCGTTGAGCCACAAATTAAAATCTCTCCTCTGTTGAACAAATTCTCGCGGTCATTTAATTTCTACCACTAACTGTCAAAAGTGAGATTTTATTAGCCAGAATACAAGAGCTTATACACCTGACTATTTAACTGTTTTGCATTGAAAAGTGTACCTGACGGGCGTTGAACCTTTATAGATATCAATGACAATCGATAAAATAAGTTTCAATTGTATGGCTAAGCAGACAGATGCTTGTATTCATTCTATAAGTTTATGGATATATACGTAGTACTGCTTATTTCACTCGATGATAACTATCTTGTCACCACATCCGGTCAACAAGGTGAATCTGAAAAATTCACCTTAAGGGTATCACGAGACTCCTCAGCTAGTTCACGAGGAATAGTAGGTGTAGGGATAGAATTGAGTGTTGGAGCTGAAAAATCCCTTCTTGACTGGATCCTAGTAGATAGTAGTACGTGTGTGGTCCTCCTGAACGGGTTTGTTAAAAGAAGGAAGGACGGTGTTACCTGTGTTTATCTTTTCTTAGTCTCCGCTCACGCCCAAACCAACTGCAGTTCGGATGAATTAAAGGATGATTTCTACCGAAAACTGTCTAGTTTTCTGAGAAAAGCAAAACGCTCAGATGTATTTGCTTTGGCAAGTGACTTCAGTGCCCAAGCAGGGAAGTTATGCCACAGAGAAATATATCGGTGATACCTAGAGAGTTCTCTGACGACGAATTGGTAACGGTGATCGTCTTCTACAGTGCTGTTCAGATAATCATCTGTTCCTAGTCATCACTAACTTTAGGCAAAAAGAGAGACATTGCGTAACCTGGCAACTTCCACCACCAAATCAACGCTGGATTCAAACAGATCACAGAGGTGAGCTACCGTTGGTGAGGGTCAGTAGAATACTCGTGCTCCTTCTGGAACACATGTGTAGATTCCGATCATACCCTGGTTCGCGCAACTTTATGCTTACGACTAAACTGACAAAAACACTGTTGGCAGCGAAGCAGTTGCGCCCTCAACTTGATCAGAACACCGAGTTCCTATTTAAGGAAGAAAAAGCTAAACGCGTATATGAGATCCACATCAAGACTCCTCCCGAGGAAGCCCGACACAATATATAGTTAACTGTAGACACAGTTTTATTGGCTGTTAATAACCTAAAACCAAAAGTTAATAAGAGCCTTTGGATTTCTACCACCTCATCCGAACTGATTGAAGCAAGAAGACTGATTCCGGCGAGCTCCGAATACGATGAGGAGCGAAAGCTACTCAAATGCAAACTAACAAGAAGTCTTCGCGACGACCGTGGACAGTGGTGAGAAAAAGAGATGGAAAAGGCATAGGTGATAGGTAACACCAGACAACAACTATTTAGACTTACCAGGGAAACAGGTGAGAAAAGGCAAGTTATAAGTGAAACAATCTCCGAGAAAAATGGAGCCCTAGTTAGCTGTCAGGATAAACGACTGGAACGTTGGAAGGAACACTTTGAAGAGCTATTTAATTGGCCTACACACACGTGCAACTTACCAAGCATCCAACACCTCCTTGGTTGGGGTGCAAACATCGGCCCTCCATCCCTAACTGAGGTT